CCATTACACATAATATATTCTGATGTTTGGACAGTAGAAACCAAATTGTGATTTTAGGGAATTTAAGTTTTCCATAAAAGATGGAAATTCAGTTGGCTTGAAAAATTACATACATTAATTCTTGTGCATAGGCCTGTAATCCAAGCACTTGAGAGACTAAGAGGTTATTATTGCAAATTTTAGGCCATTCAGAGCTGAATAGCATGACCTTGTCTGTTTTGGGAAGAAGATAATTAATCTAAACCAAACCAGGCACACACTACTCTCTTCTTACAGTAGCTATCATTTGAGTGAGGTCGGATTCTAGCTGGCTTTTGCAGATACAGTAAACCAATAGAACTTGATCAGGATGCTTGGGCTAAGCCTGCTTTAAATTAAGCCTGGATGCTCTTTCAGTCCATGGTAAGCCTGGTTAGAGTACCTGCATGCTGCAGTACAATCTTCCTGAAGTATTGATACTCCTTGGCCAACATCTCATTGTTTTCAGACAGTAGAAACTCAAAAGTTGAACCAGCTCCAGGGAATTCTGCATTTGTATAGTAACAAGGCTTTAATGTCAGCCAACCGATGGAGCCTGTGCCTCGGGACACCTTGTAATAACATGAAGCTTACATTTAAGTGCCTGCCTTGGTATCAGGAACATGCTGTCGATCTCTTTTTCCTTCCTATATGTATATTTCTTCTTAATTTTTTCTCCTACAGTGATTCCTTCTCTTCCTCAACCTCTTATTTTGGAGAGGTGTTGTTTGACAGGGACAATGTTCTTAATTTAACTTGTATCTGTTCAGGCTTGAAGGTCTTTGTGTTGATTCTTTCCTGCTTGCCTGGTGTTTTCCTGCAAGCAGACCCAATTTTCTAGAGTAGCTCTTCTGAGTTTCTAAATCATCCACCCACATCAGCTCTAAAGTGAGTCTCAAGAATATGGACAATCTTTTATCAAGCATCAGGTACTCCTTTTTAACTTCATACGTAATAACTACTTGCCTCCTGGCATTTGTCTTGTTCATTGGGATTAATTAGCAAGACAAGGGTGAGAGACTAGATTGTTGGCTTTGTCAGCATTCTTTAAAAGGAATTAATTTTTTTATGTCAAATGTACATCTTTGCCAGTGTTTCAAGTGCTCTCAAAAAGATAACCCTTATATTTACATAGCTCCTTTCTGTGATGAACACAAAACACATGTACTTGATGCAAAATACTTCAGCATGTTGTGGAAGGCAGATGAGGGTCCAGCTGGTTTGTCCTTGAGGGAGTTGGGGCACAGATGTATTGGTAACTGGGAACTGAACTCCCAATGTGAGCCCTTGCATGTGTGAGGTTTAGATACATACTCCTTTCAAAGGTTGCCTTAAACATGCCCAGATCTCAATGTTTGAAGAGACCTCATGGGCAGCACCATTCATGTTGGACTCCTGGGAGCTGTAAGTGTGAATTTCCCCATGGAAAAGTCGCTCTCCACCTCTCACATAATTGCAGAAAAGACAGAAAAGAAGCTAAAGAAACTTTTCTTGCCTGTGTTTTACTCCTTGTTGGATGGAAAACTTTCCTTTCAAGAATGAAGTGACCTTCAATCAAAATATCAGCCACAGGGTTTAAAGATTTTGTTTGTCATGGTGTGAAAACATTTGTCTATCTAGAGCATTTAACTTTCAGAGTAAGTGTATACAAATCAATATATCAACCTCTGTTCATTAATGTAAGGCTATTTGTATCTCAGAACAATACAGTTTTCTAATATGGTTTGCTGTGATGGATGCTTAAAGAAAGTAGCCCAATTATTTCTTTTAATTGGGGACAGTGTGCAGAGAACTTCTATACATTGATGCCTTTCTGTCTCATGCTCAGAAAAAGTGAAGGTTTTTTTTTAAAACCTTCCTTCTCTGTCTTTCTTGAAAATCTTACAAATTAAGACAAAAGATAATTACTTTGGAGAAATAAAACTAGCAGGTTCCCACGACACTTAAAATTAATGAGCTGTCGAGTACAAAATATACCTTGTCCTTGGCTTTATCGTCTTTTCTCCATTATTCTCTTCCCTTTTCTTCCTATTTAACACACACTGTGACTTTTGGGTTATGTTTGGCGTTGAGGTATATTGCTGGTATAAAGTAGCAGGATGGTTACAGCAAGAATTATTTGCAAAGCATCTTTTGTTTGAAAATCAAAGTTTGTTTCATTTCTCTTTCCTAGGCTATCTTATTAAAATACTCATTAGCAACCACACTGCTGCATTGATCGCACTGGCCTCCTTCAACACCCTCTGCACAGCTTCACCTCTGGTGCCAGATTTTTGCTTTTCAGCCTTTTTTTCTGGCAAAGTGGATTGGTAGTTGAAAGTCCTCCAAGTCTAATCCATTGAAACCATTGGACTGTGCCTTTCCCTTTCATGTACAGGCAGTGGCTGGGCTTCCTTTTCTAGGTCTGGAGGACACAGCTGACTGCTGACTGACTGTTCTATCGCAACTTAGAACTGGTTGTTGACCATGATTCATTTGCAAAACATTGTAGTAGTCACTGCTAGCATAGGCTTTGTGCCAGGAACAGCTAACCTATTTCTCCAAACTTTTTTTTTCTCCCTGAATTGTCATTGCGGTAGGAGAGAAGCATTCCTTTTCCTCCATGTTACACAAGAGCATGAAGGCTTGGACAAGTGACAAGCTAGACAGTAACTGTGCTAGAGGCAAATTGGGTAGCATCTGGAGACAGATGGTGGCAGTGCTGAGCTTTATTCAGATCCTGTGGAAGGTCTGTGTCATAGGGACCATGTGGCAGGCAAATGGCAAATATAGTAGATTTAATGAACTCCAGTGGTCACAGGTTGCATGCCTGGTCAGGATATGGTGATGCGGTTTCCTTAGTACCTTTCTGCAGGAGCATTTGTTATCCTCAGTGTTCAAATGAAAAATTCAAGAATCAAATCATTTGCCCAGTAATAAATATCAGAGTCAGGAATTGGTCTTTAAGTACTACTATTTTGAAATAGATAAATCCAGAGAATATTTTGTATATTTGTAAAATAAATAGCTATGAAACTATTGCTTAAAAGCAGGAGAGATGGCTTAGAGGTTAAGAGCACTGGCTGTTCTTCCAAAGGTGTCCCGAGTTCAGTTACCAGCAACTGCATGGTAACTCATAATCATATATAATAAGATCTGGTGCCCTCTTTTCGCGTTCATTCAGAATACTGCAAGACATACTGTGAATTGGTTGTCTTAGTGGAAATATGAAGGCACAAGTTCAGGATATTGGGAGTTAAGGATGACTACCCCTGTACTATGAATAAAGGAGCTATGTTCTTTGGTTTAAGAAATCATTGACCAGCTAGGACTCATGGGCCTTCTTGATTTTTGGTCACACTGAAGTATGACTCCTCACAGATGATGCTTTTCATTTGTCTCAGGCAGGCCCAGGCTCCAACTATAAGTGTGATTGATGGCTTCTGACAGTGGCTGGTTACTTAGAGTAAATGCAGCCACTATAGCTGCTCAATTTTTCCCGTATCTAGTATCATCTTGTGTAACAGAGGAGCCATGAGACACCATCTTTATTTCTGTATCCAAAATCTGTTTTGAATATATAATTGCTGGTCATGGAAGGAGCATTTAGGTTACTGCTCACAGTTAATTCAGATGTGAGAAATGTGAATCTATCTTGTGTTGTGCAAAAGAAGATTTATACCTAAAAGAAAAAAGGCTTAGAAGGAAAGTTAGATTAATTTTGAAAATATTGTGTGCCATGGAGAGCTAGCTGTTGTTGGTCAGAACATGACTTCAGTTAATAGCGCTGAACCCCGTACACATAGAAAGCAGATACAGAATGAATGTTCTCAGAAAACCAGCAAAAACATTGGGAATACTGAGCGTGTAACTTAACCATTTCACAAATCTGTTTGTCATAATGTGTCATACCATAAACATAATTTTTATTAACCAGTTTCATAATTTGTGAGGAGAGATGGAGCAATCTCCAGCATTCGGGAGTGGGAGAGTTTCCTAAACATGAAGACAAACTTTAACATTTTAAAAGCAAAGGTAGCACTATAAAAACACAAATTGAGCATGGTGCCTTGAACATGGTGAGTGAGCAGGGTGACATATTGTTAAATGTGTTTTTGAGTTTGAGGTCAACCTAATCTACATATCAAGTTCCAGGGACAAGTGACAGAAATATTTGCAACTGAGAAGGTGCAAATCATTTAAATGGTTCCTTCCTGTGACAGTGAGAACAAGCATTGATAGCTTGCCCTCCAGCTACCTGTATGTTTAGAAAGGAGTTCTGGGAGTGGGTAGGGGTTGGGTGGAGAGGTACTTGTGGTTTGGCTTTGTGAAGGGCTGGTAAAGGAAGGAAGGCTGACTTCTTCTCAGCTCCTTGCTCAGGTCTCTACCCCTGCTACTGGTACACTTGGGTTACAATGACATGTTAGTTGTAGAACAAAACAATTCTAGCAGGGGATTCTACCCTGTAATCCCAGCACTCTGGAGGCAGAGGCAGGTAGATCTCTGTGAATTCAAAGCCAGCCTGGCCTAAATAGTGAATTTCAGGCCATGCAGGACTATACAGTGAGACCCTGCCCTAACAAAACAAAACAAAACAAAACAAAATCCTGCCAACATATTGGTGAGTATTTTAGGTAGGCAGCTTACAATAAGCAAAGCAACAAAGTCTCTGGATTCCAGGGGCTAGCTGATGACTGTAGGCCATACTGACCTAAAGCTCATTGTGTAGCCCAGGCTATTGTTGAGTGTTGGAGTATTTGGGCTTTAGGTATGAGCCACTACAACTCATTGCCTATGGTAGGGAATTTTATGAATGGATTTTAAAAATATGATATAGGAAGGATTTCTTAGGATATGTCTAAAAGGTTTTGTTCAGTTTCATCTCATCTCAGAGTCGTGTGCATCTGTGTGCTGGTCATTTCTCTGAAGAATGTTTGAATAGGTACATGATATGGTTCTTCTACTGAAGGTAGAAGTTTATTTTCCCTTCTTTTCCCTTCTAGTTTTCAATGGCTCCAATAGGTCAACACGGGAGAAAGAACCTGCTCAAAAACACAAAAGCAAAGAGGCCACTCCCGGGAAGGAGAAGCACAGCGACCACAGGGCAGACAGCCGAAGGGAGCAGGCTTCAGCGGCTCAGCCCACAGCTGCCCCCTCTGCGGGCTCCTCTACCAAGGGGCTTGCTGCCAACCACCAACCTCCCCCTCTGCATCGGTCGGCTCAGGACTTACGGAAACAGGTAACCCTCAGTGAGGAGCTTTCTAGTGTGCCAAAAATGCCCACTTCACTCATTAAGGTGAGCTCAGCCTGAAGGAGCTAGAAGAGGAGGTCATGATGTCTCTGAGATGATGTCTCTATACCAAAGTGCCCTCTGTGTCCTTTCTTTCTTTCCTAGATTTCCTGAGCATGTTATTAGAGTTGGGGGCGGGGGGGGGGCAGAGAGCATCACTTTCGATTGTTTTTCTTTGTTTTTGTTTTGTTTTTTAAAACAGTTTCTATGTGTAGCCTTGGTTGTCCTGGGCTCATTTTGTTTTGACTAGGGTGGCCTTGTACACACAGAGATCAACTTGCCTCTGTCTCCTCCAGTACCGGGATTATAGGCAGGTGCAACCGTGCTTTTGAGCATCACTTCGTTTTCTTTGTTTGTCTGTTTAATGTAGATGGGTCCTCTATCTCCATCTCCATCTGCATACCAGAAGAGGGCAACAGGCAACAGATCCCTGAACAGATGGTTCAGAGCCGTCATGTGGTTGCTGGGAATTGAATTCAGTACCTCTTGTAGAAGCAGATATTGCTTTTAACCTGAGCCATCTCTCCAGCCCTCCATTGAGCATCACTTTTAAATGTTCTCTTTGCCCAGAGTCCCCACCAGTAGACTGTGGAAACACCCACTGTCTTCCTCATTTTAGTCAGCCATAAGTTAGGTGGTAAAAATAATTCTGTAGATGGCATAGGTTTTTCTGGGATTATTTTGGTCTATTTTATTGTTTGCTTTTGTTTGTTTTTAATTTTTATAGGATTATATTTATTACATTTATATATTCATATGTGTATGCATGTGTGCACCACAGCTTTTCTCTGGAGGTCAGAGGATAGCATTTGGGAGTTGGTGCTCTTCTTCCACCGTGTATGTTCCAGGGATCAAATTGAGATCATCAGTCTTGAATGTCAGTGCCTTTACCTGTTGGACCATCTCACCTGCCCTCTTATTCTAGGCCAGGACTTGTAGCAGGTGTCCTAAGCAGGCAGACAGCAACACTGCTGAGTTACCTGAATAGGATGAGATATATTTGGATGTAAAGGTTCTCTCTCAAGAGACCAGAAATGTAGAGTTGTGTGCTGCTCTGACATCAAGTCAAGTCGTCTTGAAAAGCAAGATCTCTTTGGAGCAACAATTAAGACCTGCAGGATGGACCATTGCTGTTCTATGGAAATTTTCTTGTTCATGTCCTGTCCATATTTTCTCATAGCCCTGGAAGGCAGTGAATACGGGCATACAGGCAGATCTGCTGGGGTATGTAAGGAAGGCCTGGGCTAGGTCTTCCAGAACAGATAACAAACCTTTGCCCTTCATGCTTCTGACTGGGGGACCACAGACAATTGATTCCTTCTCTTTACTGGACATCCAGGACTATGGTTTCTAAAGATAGATTCAGAGCAGTGAGGGGGCAGGGGAGATCTCCTGACTGGCAGAATCCAAAATGTAGTCTTAGTAACTATAAGTAATTCAAAGTATTTGTCCCAGAGGGTCAGTGAGTATATTCATGCAGAGAGCTGCATACGTGCATACGCACGTGCTCACACATAGTGTTTCAGGCTTTCATGTAAGGTGGTCACATTTAAATGTCTCTGTGTTTTATAGAGACCCTGTTCTTCTAAGTGAACACTTCTCAACTTCTGGATCACAACTCCCTTGTGGGTCACATCAGATATCCTGCACATCAGATGTTAACATTACAATTTGTAACAGTAGCAAAGTTACAGTTATGAAGTAGCAACAAAATAATTTTATGGTTGGTGGTCACCACAACATGAGGAACTGTATTAAAGGGCTGTAGCATTGGGAAGGTTGAGAACCACTGTTCTAAGTCTTTTGAAGCCTCATGAGAGAAGCTAGTAATTTTAGAATGATGTCAATAGTGGCTGTGGTTCCTGAAACAAAGGTGTTGTCTTTTACCAGAGATTGCAACTGAGAGTGTAGATTGCTTTCTGTTAGCAGCTGGGGGCCTGCCTCCCTGAAGCTGGCCCTGAGTTTCCCATTCTCTGAGGCATAAAGCACAGGGAAGTACACCCTGCTTTGGTTTTCTGTCAGCGATTGGCTCCACTCCCATCACTGTTGGTTTCAAGGGAACTGGGTCTGAACTCAGTTCCTAATGTTTCTGTTTGTGAGGTGGAATTAAAAGAGGATTTCTAGATTCAGAGCTACAGAAACGGTGGTGGCTGCATCCAGTCAGTTTTCTGAGATAGGCTAGTATTTTATGCATTTCCTGAAATTCATGCACCATGTTTTTTCCATTCAAGTGTACTAATCAGGCTGAACACTGCTTAGTTCGAGACATGAGGTGGGATGGGGACTGACCATTGGTAGACCAGTTATGCTTTCTAATGCAGCAGGCATATAAAATGTTATTTTCTAGTCTGCTTGTAGTGAAATTCTACACTAATACACAACAGTTTTTGTGCATTTGTGTTTTGCTTGCATGTTTGTCTCTGTGAGGGTGTTAGGTCCCCTGGAACTGGAGTTACAGACAGTTGTGAACTGCCATGTGTGTGGATGCTGGTAATTGAACCTGAGTCCTCTTCAAGAACTGCCAGTGTGCTTAACCACTGAGCCATCTTTCCAACCCCCAACCAACATCTTAAGCCTAGAAGTTAGTTTTGTTGAGTTGTATCTCCTGATTATTTACTTATCTCCCAGAGATTTATGAGGGTGGCTTTTAATCAGCGGATACATGGTTTACATTCATCCAGTATTATTGCTGCTCATCTCAGTCATGGCTCTTCTTCAGCACCTCATAGCTCAACAGGAATTAGTCTAGGAGAGTGGGAGGGAACAGCAAGGTCCCCTGGCCTGCGTTCATTGTCTTTGCCTCCTGTTCCATGGTTGGAACATACTACCTTATATCTACTAGTGCTCTAGAATATTGAACAAAGACTGTCTTATTTAATGGCCTGTTGCTGTGACAAAAGATGTCACGACCAAGACAACTTTTACAATAAACGATAGCATTTAATTAGGGGCTTGCTTACATTTTCAGAAGATTAGTTGACTGTCATCATGATGGGGAGCATGGTGGCAGACAGACAGTCAAGCATATACTGCTGAAGAAGTAACTGAGAGCTATATTCTGCTCCTCAGGCATTAGGCAGAGAGAATGGCACTGGGCCTGTCATGGCCTTTTACTATTTCAAAGCCTTTCCCAGTTGAAACACCAACTCCAGCAAAGTCACATCTGTTAATTCTTTCCAACAGTCTACCAACTGGAAATCAAACATTCAAATACACGAGCCTATAGGGCCCTTCAAACCACCCCAGCGGCAACCATAGAGTGAGCTGCTAGCACCTGAGTGCTGCCAGTCTTAGCTTCTTTTATTTTTGGTTTGGACCCTGCAGATAGGGGCTTTTCCAGAGGTGATGACTTGGTGCTTCAAGTTCTAATCTTGCTATGATCCCGATCTCCACTGAGCCTTTGAGATATGATCTTTACCTTCCTTGTACCATTGTCTTTTTAGAGGCAATTATGCCATCTCTTTACATAGGGGCCTTGTGAGAAATGAAAGAACAAACAGGTGACCATCACATAAGTACTCTGAAAATAAAGTCAATAAAGTAAATTGTAGCTAAGTGTCTGAAGTATACTCTGAGCTTTACCTTCAGATTTGATTGTAGGAAATGTTTTTTCATGAGCTGTGATTTGTAAGGGATGCTGCTGATCAGTACGGTTGTTCTGTCCTGCTTGCTCTGATGCCCTGGGGCAGATACCTTCTCACAGGAAAAGCACCCTCCTTCCACCAAGGAATAATGGTTAGTCCTTGGTCTTCAAACAAAGCCCTGGATCCTGAGACCTAAAATACATGAGTGCATACTTTCCTTTTGTGTTTCTCTTGGTATGTAGGGTCTGTATATAGCAGTCCACTCGAATCTCTCAAGCCTCTGGACCTGGTAGTGTGTGGTAGATGCTGGCATCTGTTGTTCTGAAATAAGGCTTCCATTTTAAGCACAGTAACAAATGCCAGCTGTTGTGGTGTTGCAGTTATCAGGAGAGGGATTATTTTCTGTTGTTTTGAGGTAGGGTCTCACTGTATAGTTGAAAATAGCCTTGAACATTTGACAAGCCTCCTGCCTCAGCGTACTGAGTGCTGACATTACCTGGCTCCACAAAAGGGTTTTGAAATGCTAGTTTGCCAAGAGAGTCAATGAAATTCATAGTTATATGTGGTGAGTCTCCTGGGATATGACCTATTGGGCCACACCAAATATGTTAAGGTTAAGCTGTAACCCTGAGAAGGAAGTTGTCAGATCTTCATGGGCAGCCTCCAGATGCTCTTGGAAAGAGAGCTGACATTCTTGGTCACAGGAGGCCTCTTGTGAAAGTGTATAGAAGTAAAATGACCTGGCCCCTAACAGAGGCCAAAGAATTCAGAGTATAAATTATGGAAAATGAATTTAGAGGAAAACTTTACAAAATGAAATCCTAATGTCTTAGTGTTTCTTTTGCTATGAATAGACAACGTGACCACAGCAACTTTTATAAGGAAAGCATTTAATTGGGGCTGGCTTACATACAGTTCAAAGGTTTGCTTATTCCATCATTGCCAGAAACATAGTTACGTGATGGAGAGGTAATTGAGAGTTCTACATTGAGATTGGCAGGCAACAACAGGAAGAGTGAGCCAGTCACTGGGCCTAGCTTGAGCTTCTGAAACCTTAGAGCACAACTTCCTCCAACAAGGCCACACTTCCTCATCATGCTATACCCTATGATTATGTGGGGCCCGTTTTCATTCAGACCAACACCCCTGAGTGCTCCTGCAGGGTGTTTTAAGGAGGTTTTGCCATGGTTCTCCAGAGCCTGTGTGTACCATTTGTCGCTTACTATTTGCATGTTGCTTGTGTTGTGAATACAGCCATGGTTCCTATGAGAACCCAGGCTTTCTTTACCTTTGATCCTGCTTCCTCTTTCTCTAGCTCTGGAGTTCTGTTCTTTTCAATCACCCCCACTTAACATCTGTGTTCCTTGTCAAGCTCACTTGCTCCCTCTAGTGGGAGAATAAAGTGTTGGATATTAATGGCCCTGTGTGAACTGAGGACTCTAATAATCTTGGTCCACAAAAACATTTTCAGTTAGTTAGCCCCAGTCATCCATTTTCTATTCTACCTTGTAAGTACAAGTTCTTTGTGTTCACCAGACTTTAATTAAGCACTAAAAAAAAATGGGATTTCTGTCATTAAAAACCTAGAGAAGGAAGAATACTTGGGTTGTTTACTTAATTTTTAAGAATTTGCCTTTGGGATGCTCTACGTGCTAGGCCAGTTGGATCTAACTTTACAACACCTCAGCTGCTTAGGAAAGAAAACCAAAACTACCATTATACAAATACTTTCTGGCTATCTCTGTGGTCTCTGGAGATACAGGTAACAGGAGGGTGACTGTGGGCCCCATAACAAGTTGCAGTCACCACGTTTTCTGTAGAACTGGGTTGAGGATGGCGCTGTGTTCTTAGATTCCCCACCAGAGCTAAGACATAGAAAGTTGTCTGTTGGTGGTTTTGCGTTTCATGTTGTATGTCAGAGGGTCCTGTGTTTTTCATCCAGTAAATTAAGGCTCATTCTTTTGCATGTGCACGGTCTTAGGACGTACAGTTGTGAGTCCTGGTTCCCCCTTGCCATGTGCTGTTGACACGAATGAGGTAGTCTGTTGTCTCCATGTCAAGTGTGCCGTAGTGATCTGAGCTAGTAGAACAGCATTGGCGCTGTAGTTCTCCATCCCCGTGGTTGTGGTGGTGCTGGTTAAACGCTGGTTTCTAAACAATGGGTATATGCTGTGAAGGAGGGGTTATTGCATGCAGTGGGCTGGTTCCACGTCTTGTCAGTACTAGGCGGCCATCAAGTTGTCAACTTTTATGGATAATCTTTAGCAAGTTTGTGGGGATGGGCTGGTTGCTGGTTTAGCTCACCAGCTGTGTTGTAGCCACCGCACATAAAACTTTTTGGACAAGCTACAGAGTTACAGACATGCCTGGACTTTTTGGGACATGAAAGCAGTATATTTGAATGGACACTTAAGAATATACCTTAAAACAGCAAGTGAGTAGAGTCATTCATTTTCCAGTGGTCAAGTCAGTTGAAGACACACCTTGGCAACAGTATAGTATTTCATTTTCCTAACATCCCTCAACAGTTTTTCCTTGTACCATGGAAGATAGTAACACAATTGCAGTACGTTGATTGTTTAAGGGGCCCAGGTGCTCCTAGAAGCCAGAGGGTTGGTCCCAAGAGTCTTCACCTTCATAGTTCCTTGTGCTGTGTATTATAAGGAACCTTGTTTTTATGATACCTTGTCTGAAAAACTTGGGGGAAGGCTGGGCTAAAGAACCTGTAGGAACACTGCACAATTCATGTCTTCTGAATATGGATTCCTTTTGTGCCCTTACACATCCAGTCTGTAGTGATGGCCTATAGTGCTTACATCAGTCTAGGGATTTTCAGGCCTTCCAAGCTAAAGAAACTCTGACCTGATGCCAGCATATCCCTGGAGCTGGCCCTTTGACAAAAAAATCTCTACCTTTTGGAAGAGACTAGCCATATTGGATTTGCTATGTAAGGGTGAGCTAGGCCTAGAACCAGAACAGGCTGTGCTTCCAATAATGCAGGAGAAGTGGAGAACCTCAGTAGATGCATTCTTTTCCCGCCTCCCGTGCATATAGCATCATTCCAGAGGCCTGCCTGCCTACTATCTGCCTTCCTTCTTATCTCCCAGTGTGCTTCATATTGGAAATACAAATTAAATCAGTATTTACCACTTACTGGTTTTCTTAGTGTTTTCATTTGGGGGTTTATTCAGTAGATTCATTTTAGTTCAGGTGAACTGTTTCCATACATCTTCCTCCCCGTTACTAGAACCTTGTGTGTAATTTCATCCCTGGCTTTGTACTTTGTTTTCCGAGATCGGGGTCTTTCACAGGATCTAGGTTCATGATTTCTTCATGCTGACTGGCCAGCAAGTCCCAGGGATATAACTGTCCCTGCCTCCCCACGGTAGGGATTAAAGTGTATCTTTTACTATTAGCTATTTTCATGAATGCTGGAGAATTAAACTTCAGTGTCTCATGGCTACATGGCAAGCACATATCAACAGAACCATCTTCCAGCCTTGTATATGTGCATCTAATCTAATTCATTGGTGTCACATTGCCTTCTTCTCTTCTAAACTTATAGGCAGTTTCCCAATTTGTTCCAGGCCACCTCTGCCATGTCAGCCATACTTGCTGGGTACTGTCCAGAAATGCTGTGCACTGTGGCACTCACCATTAATCTCAGCAATCATGAGGCAGAGGCAGGTGGATCTCAGAATTTGAGGCTAGCCTCGTCTACACAGCGATTTCTAGGCTAGCCATGGCTATGCAGTGAGAAAAAGATCCCACCATTTAGTTGTAATGCCTCCCCCCATTTGTGTCTCATAGAGGGTTTTTGTTGTTGTTGTTTGTTTTGTTTTGTTTTTGAGATGAGGTTTCTCTGTAGCCTTGGCTGTCCTGGACTTGCTTTGTTGACTAGGCTGGCCTCAAACTCACATAGATCTGCCTGCTTCACTGAGTGCTGGGATTATAGGCGTGCACCACTATGCCCAGCTCCTAGAGGGCTTTTGTGAGAGCTTTTGGAGACCAAGTATGGATGTTGACTCATAATCCATGTCACACCAAGATTTTATGTTTTTTACTGGACCACAGATAATTTTTTTGCCATTTATAGAAAACAGATCTGACCGGCTTCTGTGTAACACACATACCCCATGGGTGTGAAATTTCACTGAGACCTGGTTCACCAATTTTTCATGGTGTGGTTCAAAGATAGCATTTAAAAAGATCCGATTGGTATTCCAAAACCACAGGCCTCAGTATATCTGAGGAGTCTTAGAGACTTGGGGGTGGGGCAGTGGCCTGTTTGGATAAACGATGAACCTTTACTTTTCATTGCTGGTTTGGGTGGCTACCAGTTTTAGCTGCTTTCACTCACAGCTTGTTCGTTAATTAGCTCGGGCTTGTCACCATGGTCTCTTACTGTGGTGAGGGCATGCTGATCATGAGCCAGCCTCATGGTACTTGTAGCTACTTGTACAAGTACCTCATAACTGTTCCTCACCATCAAGCCAGGCTCCAACCTTCAGGGAGGAGGTGTGTGGTTTCTATAATTGTGTGAGTTTTAGACTTTTGGAGGTGGTGGCAGCAGTTCTTTACCCTGTGGTTCTTGATTTTAAAAGTGATACCCATGAGACTTAAGTGTCTCACTAAACTCACACCTGTGCTGATTGGTATAAAGTCGCCTACCCTGGAACCAATGAGTCTGGTACCTCCTTGTTCTTATTTGGCAATCAGTAGGCCAGTGGCGGCTGGGGGAAGGGTGTGTGTGTGCCAGAGCCATGCTGTTCCATTCTATGTGAGCATTTTGTTTCACAGAATTTTTCTCTTGGCTTTTTAGGCTGGCAGGTGGATGGCCAGTATTTGACAGCTGCCTCTATTTACCCAGTTAACAAAATCTCAAATGGGCGCTTGCAAGGGGTAAGAAAATAGGAACCATAAGCCCAGAAGGGGGTTAGGGACATTTTGGCTTCACAAAGGAAGTTGAAGTATTCATCCTGCATCGAGTGAGGCTGTCCATACAGGTTAAGTCTCAGGGATGGTGAGAAGCTGACGTGGCAGCAGCTGCTGACAGTTTGCAAGCCATACCTGTAGGCTTGGTGTGTGAATCTGAGCTAAGGCTTGAGTGCTGCTGCTCTTTTTCTTCTATAGTGTATAGGGTTTTTGTTTATTTATTTTTGTTTGTTTGTTTTTGTTTTTGCTGTTTAAATTGCATAGTTGAGTTTTTGTTCTGTCTGTTGGCCATTCTGTTATGTGGAGCACACAAAGGACAGCAAACAACCACTTTTGTAACAGGGATATATATATATATATATATATGTATGTATTTTAAAAAACACTATTACACACTTTCCTCAAAACAAAGCATAGGATCTTGCTGTTCTTAGAAACTGGAGATAGATAACTGATAGGTCTATGGCAAGGTCTTCATTATGGAGCCCCACATTCCCTGAAAGAGCCGAGCGAAGAAGAGTTAATATGCAAATCCATCCAGGAAGAACACCAGGCAGGCCTACACAGTATAGTAGTGAAGGTGTGCTAGCCAGTGCTGTGTGTGTGCTATGAGGGTCCCCACGCCAGTTCACCGACTAATTCTTGATGGGTTTCCTCCCTTGCTTAACGTAGGTCCCACCTCTCTTCTGAGCCATGTCTGTCACCATGAGCTGTAATAGTCCTTCCTCTCTGTTTCAGCCTAGGTCCTAATTGTTTCTCTCCTCCTGCTCCTGCTGCTTCCATAGGTGTCTAAGGTAAATGGAGTCACTCGAATGTCATCTCTGGGTGCAGGTACAACCAGTGCCAAAAAGATCCGAGAAGTCAGACCTTCACCATCCAAAACTGTGAAGTACACTGCCACAGTGACCAAGGGGACTGTCACATACACCAAAGCCAAGAGAGAACTGGTCAAGGAAACCAAACCCAACCAACACAAACCCAGTTCAGCTGTCAACCACACAATCTCAGGGAAAACTGAAAGTAGCAATGCAAAAACCCGCAAACAGGTGCTATCCCTTGGGGGGGCGTCCAAGTCCACCGGGCCTGCTGCCAGTGGCATCAAGTCCAGCAGCAGGTTGAACCCAAAGTCATGCACTAAGGAGGTGGGGGGGCGGCAGCTGAGGGAGGGGCTTCGTAATTCCAAGAGGAGACTGGAAGAGGCACAGCAGGTGGACAAGCTGCAGTCACCCCCCAAGAAGATGAAGGGGGCGGCAGGCGCTGCTGAAGCCCCTGGCAAAAAGGCTTCTGCAGAGAAATCTCTGCTGAATGGACATGTGAAGAAGGAAGTGCCCGAGCGAAGTTTGGAAAGGAATCGGCCGAAGCGGGCCACAGCTGGCAAGAACACGCCGGGCAAACAAGCACATGGCAAGACAGAGGGCACCCCCTGTGAAAATCGTTCTACCTCGCAACCCGAGTCCTCGCACAAGCCGCATGAGCCGCAGGGCAAGCCGGAGAAGGGGGGTGGCAGGTCTGGGTGGGCAGCGATGGACGAGATCCCTGTCCTCAGGCCCTCCGCCAGGGAGTTCCACGACCCGCTGGTGTACATCGAGTCTGTGCGCGCTCAGGTGGAGAAGTGTGGGATGTGTCGCGTGATCCCCCCTGCGGACTGGCGGCCAGAGTGCAAGCTCAACGATGAGATGCGCTTCGTCACGCAGATCCAGCACGTCCATAAGCTGGGCCGGCGCTGGGGCCCCAACGTGCAGCGGCTAGCCTGCATAAAGAAGCACCTCAGATCTCAGGGCATCACCATGGACGAACTCCCCCTCATAGGTAAGGTCTAGGATTGCGCTCTTCCACCTTCCCATGATCCTAGCATGGAGGCAGGTGGATTCCAGTACATTGCTCTTCTCCTGCAGCTAGACATTTGTGTTAAGAAGTTTGCAATTGATGGGAGTTTCTCTCGATGTTAAGAGCCCCAGGCCCCTTGCTGGACTGTGTTCTAGAGCGGCTGGGGTTGAGCCAGGGAAGGGCTGAGGAGTTCAGGCTGCTACAACCTGGTGCCTTGGCTTCACAACCACAAATTACTTACTTCCTAATTTTGCATGCCAGCAGGATTAGTTTCTGCTGAAGCTCATCTCTGTGGTGTGTAGTGGGCTACTTGCACCTTGTGTCAAGAGTCTTTCCCTGTTTGTCTGTCTGGGTATCTCCTCATAAGGACACCAGTGAGGTTGTGGCAAGGCCTGCTGGGGAACCTTATTTTAACTTACTACTTTAAAGTACCATAATATCGTGGGGTTTTACTGGATTTGTATTTCAATATGTTAACTTGGGTGGTATTTTAACTCAGCTTACAAGCTCCATGTCGTTTCTGTATCTTTCTTGTCCCTATCTGTCCACCTCTCTGTGTTGGTTTTTTGGTCTGTATCTCTTCTCCCTGGTGCGCTCCCTGTGGCACCCCCCCCACCCCCCTATTCTTTGGTGAGCAAAAAAGACCTCCTCTGGATATAAAGGGACAGTATTATATTCCATTTCTTTCAAGGGCTAATTTAGTTCTGGCTAGGACTGGAGAGCATGCCCCAAGAACTACTGCTATGAGTACATGTCATGGCATAGCTGATTGTCTTTCCTGCAGGGTATGGAGTAGGCATGGCTCCTTTTGCCTTCTGCTGTCACCACTTTTGACTCTCTTGTTCCTGGCACTCCAGGACAGACTTTTCCAGGGAAAGCCAAGTGATTTGTGCAAAAGAGGCTAGTCCTAAGGTGGTCAGCTGCTGTCCTCACTGTAGGCTCCAGCTCTTGGGAAGCAGTGCCAGGTCTGTGGTTGAGAAGTAGGGACTGTCTCAGCAGTCACCCAAGGCCAAGAGCAAAGATCAGCAGGTAGAGATTTCATAACTCCTCTCCCCAGGAGGCTGCCATTAAACATGCCTGTTGAGGGTCTCTTGAATCCTTGCTCTGTTATCTGCTGCCAGTGTTGGCATGAGAGGAGGCTTTGGATAGAGCTTCAGAGACATGGTGAGGTATGTCCTCACCCCGACCCCGACTGCCAGCCCCCAGGTAACTCAGAGGCAATGAATCAGAGTGCTGCCTTGATGAGGCCTGTGGATTGGCAGGTTCCAGTGCTTTTGTGTTGGGGGATAGGTGAGATGGCAGGCAACATTGCCAAAATAATCCAACAACTTTATGTTGTATAATTCTGTTTTCCCCTATAACCCTAATTGCTTAGCTAGCACCAGAAGCCACTTTATTATCCTTTATGTTTATCTCCCTGAGACAGGCTGCTGTCTTCAGGGACTCAGTCTCTAGGCAGGTGGACAGGACACCTTCCTAGGGGTCATGCAGTGCTCAGCCTGTCTCCTATTACTGTTTCATCTGGAGCCATGGTTCTTTTAATTCTGATGTCAATACCGTCCTACTTTTGAAGATTGAAGAATTTCTTGGATTTTATTTTGTTCCATTGTTGTGGTATTGTTAGTTATTCCTCTTTTCAGTGAGGCTGCTTCTCTGTTTTCATCCAAGTAGATGGAATGGTGAGGTCTGCATTTAAATACATCTGAGATGGATTTGTTGCTTTATTGGTTTTTAGTTTGCATGTCTTGCACAGGCTGGGCAAGTGTTGTACCACTGTACACAGACCAGTCCATATTTGAGTTTTGATAAACATTTAAACTCTTCGTTTCTGAGATAAGGAGCCTCTGTGTCTCAGACAATGTTCTGTGACCCTGAGCAAATGTGGTTTTGGTCTTGGATGAGAGATTCAATCTCCTTATGAGTTAGGCTGTTGGGAAGAGACTTGGCTTTTGACTGACCTGTGCAGTGGTTTCCGACATAGCAGCGATGCTGTAAGCTATGGGAACCCTGGCCATACCTAGGTCCTGCCGCTCTCATCACAACAGCTTTGCCCCTCTGTATGACAGTGCCTCGGCCATGCTGAGCCCGCAGCTTAGGTACCATTTCAGTGATCCTCTCCTTGTGTGCATGGCTACCTCTTTCCTTCCTTCGGATCAATTCCTCAGATGCCTTTCCTGCCCACTTTCCCAAGGTGATGATCCCTCAGTTTGTCTCCTAGTACCCAGCTGTGACCCCAATACTCAACAATGTAGCTCCAAGCTAGCTGCTTGTTGCTCTGACTCTGGAGCCTAGTGGGAGCCCCTGGCTTTCAGGACTAATAGGCCATAGCAAAAAAACCAATTTTCTCTATGCTCTTCTTAACCATTTCTCCCCTCACTGCCCAGGAGGCTGTGAGCTCGACCTGGCCTGCTTTTTCCGGCTGATAAATGAGATGGGTGGCATGCAGCAAGTGACTGACCTCAAAAAGTGGAACAAACTAGCAGACATGCTGCGTATTCCCAAAACTGCCCAGGACCGGCTGGCCAAGCTACAGGAGGCCTACTGCCAGTACCTCCTCTCCTATGACTCCTTGTCCCCTGAGGAGCACCGACGGCTAGAGAAGGAGGTGCTGATGGAGAAGGAGATCCTAGAGAAGCGCAAAGGGCCATTAGAGGGGCACACAGAGAACGACCACCACAAGTTCCACTCCCTGCCCCGCTTTGAGCCCAAAAATGGGCTCATCCATGGCGTTACACCTAGGAATGGCTTTCGTAGCAAGCTCAAGGAGGTGGGCCGGGCCCCACTTAAGACAGGCCGGCGGCGATTGTTCGCTCAGGAAAAGGAAGTGGTCAAAGAGGAGGAAGAGGACAAAGGTGTCCTCAATGACTTCCACAAGTGCATCTATAAGGTAAGGTGCTCCGCAGGTTGCCTATAACCTGTAGGGTGGTTGGGAATAAGGCTGACTGTTGTGCTGGGTGAATGCTGGAATACTGTTTTACTCTGTTTTGAGCTGCTGTGATTGAATATCATGGAGGACACATTAATTCACGGGAAGATTATGGCTCTCGGGTCTGGAGTCTGGGCTCCCTTTTTGCCATTTGGCTACTTGGTAGGAGCTATGGAGACAGCACCTTTGATGTCCCTGCCTCTTGTGTTGTTACAGTGGTGATTTTAGCAAACCCCTTAGAGGGGACCCACATTCATATTCTTGGGGTAGCTGATGCTTCCAGCAGAGCTCTGTCTGATACAGCAGTGATAGACAGTTGGATCTGCCTAGGGAGTCTGAGCAGTTAAGTAGGCAAGGACTCAGGTTTGGAGCTTGGCAACATAAGAGATAGAGGAGTAGTTTGCCCACCTGGGCCTTTCTGGTTTCCCTTCAATTATGTGTGTTGTTTGTACTTGTGTTTACGTATCTTCCAGAGACAGGCAGATGAGGTTTGTCCTGTGCCTCGGGTTCTTGGCCTTGCCTCTGAGCACTGCTTGTATGAAAGCTGTGTGGGCCAGGATTGTGAGCTCTGAGAATGCTCTCATTCTCTCCTTATTTTGTGTTCCAAAAAGCCTGCTGCTGACTTTGTTTCAGCCCAGTGCTGTTATCTTGATGTAGAGAGCCAAACCCGACAAATCTGTAACACAAATCTCACCGTTAACAGCAGCACAGAAAGGAGGTGGGAAAGTGACTGGAAAGTGTAGTTGCGGATGATATCCCAGCATGACTCCCCTGAGCCACCCTGCTTCTGGCAGAAGAGCAGAGTTAGCAGTGTCTCTTGGCAGCTGCTTCCCAAGACTCAGGGCTTCCCTCCCTTGGCCTGCTTAAGGGAGACGGGGGATGGTGAAAGGTACTCCATGGCCAGCTTGTAGAAGCTAAATGCAAGCTGCCCTCCTAGATGAAGCCACTGATGTCCCCTGTGGTTCCTATCTGGGATCCCTTGAGGGAAGTATTCTTGGGATAGGTATTGGCTTGGCCTTCTGTTGTAGGAGGCATGCTGGGCTAGATGGGTTTCTGCTGCATTGGCGAGGCTAGTCCTCACCTTTACTACTGTCTGCTAGGTTCCTGTGTCTATCTCATTTCATGCCACAGTCTGTCTCTCTGGAGCGATTGCCACTATAAACCATAGGGCCTCATAGAGCAGCGTGGCTTGCCTTTGGTCCCAATGAATGCCTTTTGGAGGATTGGCCTGACAAGCAGACCTCAGCTGCCACACAGGCTTCCGGCCTGGAGCTTATTTCTGGGCTTCAGGCATTACGGCGTTCTTTTCATACACAGGTTCTCTCACTTTCCTGTTGTCTGTTACTAGACTCAGGGTTTGCTCTTCATCTGGTTCTTTGTTGTTGTTGTTGAGATGCTTGGCTGTCCTGGAGCTCTCTGTAGACCAGGCTGGCCTCAACTCACAGAGATCTGCCTCCTGAGTGCTGGGATTAAAGGAGTGCACCAGCACCGCTTGGCTTCATTTGGTTCTTTATCCACTTACCCACCACATGAGACCCAGGTATTGGGTTTGAGAGCCCACTTAGATGTGCTTCTGAAATGCCTTTTGAAAACAGAGAAATACCCCAGGGACGGAATTGACTTGTTTGGTATGTATCGTAAGTGACTGGGAGGCCATGCTCATTTTCAAAGCTGCTCACTCACCTGCAATTTCAGACTAACACCTCTGAGGTAGGTGTTCTCCATGTCTGCTGGTGGTGGTTCAAAGTTACTACTGTGAGAGTGTTGACTCAAGGAAATATTCCTTACGTTTTTATAAATCTGCTTTGTCAAAGGTATTTTTAGATTTAATTGGAAAACCCTGGTATGCTTGGCCAAGGCGCCCACCACCTCTCTGTGCCCTGGGGCACCAACTGAGGGTAGCACTTGTCCATCCCCCTGCTTACTGTGCTTGTGGTAGTTAGGGTCACATTAGGTCTCCTTGTACTTAGGCCTTGACTTTAGGAGAACAGAAAGTTTGGAAAGGTTTCAAATTGTATGAAAGTCACTTTCTCAACTTGAGAAGCCCATCCAAAGCCCTGCCTTGTAAGCCCAACCCACTGTCTGGATGCTCACTGCTAGGTAGTACTCCCCAGGCAGTGTGCTGGGCCCACAAACTTATGGGGACGCTGTCACCTACTGAAGACAGTGTGGCTTGTCGCCATGGAGAAGCCACTGGGCAGAACCCTGTGAGACAGATTTATGTCCTGATATAAAGCTGCACTGTTCTGCTGTTTTCTTTGTTTCAGGGAAGATCTGTTTCTCTAACAACTTTTTATCGAACAGCAAGAAACATCATGAACATGTGCTTCAGCAAGGAGCCCGCACCAGCAGAGATCGAGGTAAGTTGGTCAACTCCATACAACCTCCTATGACACTGAGAAGCCCTCAGGCTGGTTGAGGCATGAAAGGACACAGAAACAGAGGTTGTCTTTTGTGTGTCTGTGCTGTGGCAGCCAGACATTTCCTTTTGGAATTCCCTCACCCCTGCTGGAGGAGTCTGAGGGTTGTGTCTTCCCATCACTGGTCCAGCTGGCAAGTTTTGCCCTCAGTGAACTGCCCTTCCCCCCTCCCTGTGTGTTCTGGAGGAGAATGTTTGGAATCCCCTGAAGTCATGGTGTGCTTTTCTCCTCTCCTGTTGTTCATGTAATGGGATTGGCAGGTCTCCATTTTTGTGCCACTGCCAGCTCTCTACTTGGAGTTAGTGCAATGCTGGAAAGACAGTGAGCTCTTATGTGCCTGGACCAATTAGCAGCTGTTACATGTGAGGCCCTGCAGGATGGAGCTGGTCCTGTTTGTTTACATTCCCTGGCCAGAGCCCAGTAGAGTCCCTGGGACCCTACAGCTGCTGACATAGGAACCTAGCAGTGGTTGGTTTGTGAAGGGAGAAAGGCCAGCTCCGATCCCTGCCTCAGCACAGTTGTAGCTGAGAAGAGGGGAATGTTGGACAGGTGTACTTTCTTCTGACGTGACAGGTTCCAGCCAGCTTTTTAATGGACTCGGGACTTTGGATAATTGTTGGTGATCACAGTCTTTACCATGACCTCCATAAGGAGTCTGCCTTGCTCTGTGACCTAGGGTTTGACATCCACTGTTAACCTCAGGCTCAGCCCTGCCTAGGCTCGCCATTATATTGGACTGGTTTGACACCCATGTGGCCATCATAGTTGCTTTCTGACGCCTCATGACACTGTCGCAGACATGTCAGATGAGAGGGCTCAGCCTATGAGGCTAGAGAGACAGCCTTTGTCGTCATCCCTACTGTGATCTTGGCATCTCCAGGAAGCTCTCAGGATTACTACTGTCTAGAGCTCATCCTACAGGCTTCTATTTAGGATGTGTTTCAGCAGAAAGACTAGATTTCACTGTAGCCATTACCTGAATACTTAAAAAGGCAAAAGTGAAGGTTTGCTGAAACACAAAGATTTCAGTTTAGTGTGGCTGGTGCCTTGGACTGTGTGTCCTTTAAGACCAGCAGGCTTTTTTCTCTTTCCTGGGGGACAGTGGTGGTTGCTGGTGTGGAATGAGTTCTTGTCCCTCTGCTAGAGGTTAGTGGCAGCTGAGTTGGGGTGTTCTTTCTGGGTTGGCACAGAAATCTTGGTTTTTGGCCATTTGGTCCTTTAGAAAGCAGTCAGTATCCTTCTGTTCCTGTGAGCTTGGTTTCAGGCTGATCCTGTATGCTCACTGGCTGAGTTTCTCCCACACTTAGGTTTGGAGGGAAGAGAAAGTGCTTCTGAAATGTGTGGATTGAAAGTGCAGTTTGAGTGTGCCTGAGGGCAGGGCAGGAACCATCTCAAAGGGAAGCACCACCACTTGATTGCAGTGCTTCTCAATGGACTCCTTGTCCCTAGTGGGATCAGCTCAGATTGTAGCTTGGCTGTGTGTGTGTGTGTGTGTGTGTGTGTGTGTGTGTGTGTGTGTGTGTGAGAGAGAGAGAGAGAGAGAGAGAGAGAGAGAGAGAGAGAGAGAAATCAGAGGACAAGTTTGGAATAAGTTCTTTCACCTTTACATGGTTTTCAGTGATGAAAACTGAGTTTACCAGGCTCATTGACCCCCACACCAGGTTTCCAGTTCCCAAAGGATGCTGACCACAGTAGATTGGGGATTGTGACAAGGAGCTGTTGTCCTTTGTGCTGTGCCGGTGCTATACTTATTCTCCAAGTGGGGCAGAGGAAGTTTTTCTAACCTTATTCTCGATACTTTTTTTTTTAATTTCTTTCCTATAAACAGATTCTTTTCATCATTTTAACTGTTAATATTTGTGCATGTTTATGTGTAAGTTTGTGCTGCCCACAGCATATGTGTGTGAAAGAGGACAAACTTGGGTTCTGTCTTCTTCCTGGTTTGAGGCGAGGTCTTCATTCACTGCTGCCCATGCCAGGCTAGGTGGCTTGTGAGCATGTGGGAGTCTCCCCTCTCTCCTTGCTCTACTGCCCTCAATGTGCTGGCATCACAGATGGATACTACTGTGTTTAGTTTCACTTAGGTTTTAGGAACCCAAACTCAGGTCCAAAACTGTGTGATGGGTGTGTAAGTGTACATTTCTGAGATCAGGTCTGTTTACATTATTATATAATCATCAGCATAGTTCTCTGTGCCCCTTAAAGACTTCTAAACTCTTCCCCAGCTTGGCAGCCACTGTCCTGCTTTCTAACACAGGGGTCTCCTGTACAAACTCTTCGGAGACGGGTTATGTCGAGTGTAGTATCCTCATGCATTAGCCGTGGTGTGTCCATAAGTCACACTCACATATGTGGATGGCTTCCCTTGACATAGTGCTTGACATCACTGTCATCCCAGGCCTTACAGTGTATCCAGAGACACTACAGACCTCTGTTGTCTTGAGGATGTGTCCCCAGACATGACAGTTATACCTTTGCCTTAGGGTTTTAAGGGATTGCTTACTGGCAATTCCTGACAGACAACTTGTGCTGTGCCTAGTGTTACAACCATGTCTTGGTGTTTAGTACCACATAGACACTGACTATTTCCTCTTCTCAACAGCAAGAGTACTGGCGGTTAGTGGAAGAGAAGGACTGTCATGTGGCAGTTCACTGTGGAAAGGTGGACACTAATACCCATGGCAGCGGGTTCCCGGTGGGAAAATCAGAACCCTTTTCAAGGTAATAGTCCATTCTCTTATCTATATTTTGGGACCTCGATGGTGCTCTTCCCCACCAGTCTGACAGTCCCCATCTTTCCCTCTGCAGGCATGGATGGAACCTCACCGTCCTCCCCAATAACACAGGGTCCATCCTGCGTCACCTTGGTGCTGTGCCTGGTAAGCATGACCATAAGCATCCTCCTGTACTAGCTTTCATAGTGAGAGCGAAGCCAGGGTAGTTCTTCTAAGACTGTTAGAGAGGCCTGGAGCCGTACCTACAGAGGGCGGAAGTCTGAAAAAATGTGGGCTCCTTCTGGCATGGCAAAAGTCTTGGGGAACCTAGTTTATTAACTCAGAGTTTTAGAAAAGCCTTTTAAAAACTGAGTTCTAACTCCTAAAGGCTGTTTTTATGAGCAGCCACAATAAATGGGTAAGAAATAAAAGCTGTTTCCGACTTAGGCAAGAATCCCATGGAGGTTCTTCTTGCTGTAAATTCCTTGAGCCTTGAAAGGGAAGCCTGAGTCCTGAGGGACTCCTTTCTGCCCAAGCCAGGAGCCCTCTTTCCCACCTTGTTCACTGGAGACAGAGGCACTTAAGCCAGGCCTCCTCAGCCCTGACTTTGCACATTCATTCTTAGCTCGGAGGGTTTACAAGCTACCTAGCCACAATGCAAGAATTGTAAATTTATCTCTGTGTAGCAAGTGGAGAGAACAGACAACTTTTTCTGTGTTGTTTTGGAGAGGCAGAATCCTACTCCAAACTCCACACCCTTCTTGGAGGACACTTTTAATGGCTGTTACTCTGAAGCAGCGTTGCTCGAAAATGACTACTCTTTCCTTACGTTTTAGGAGTGACTATTCCCTGGCTAAATATTGGCATGGTCTTTTCTACCTCATGCTGGTCTCGAGACCAAAATCACCTTCCATATATTGACTACTTACACACTGGTGCTGACTGCATTTGGTGAGTACTCACCCCAGCGGCAGATGCAACAGCTCTAGGTAGCCCAGGAAAGTGGTGCTTTTCAGTCCAATAAAAAAGGACCTGAACGTGCAGGGGAAAGGTACTTGCTTTTCCAACCTAGCCAGGGATTTGGGCTTTCTACCTGTGCTACAGGGGTTGCAGGGTGGCAGAAGTGGTTCCCATGCGTGGCCTATTGTGGTGTTCTCTTATGAATTGCTTGCTTAGTCTGTTTCCCTGCTGGGAATCCCCCAGTTATGTTACGGAATTCCCACAGTTGATTTATAGCAGTATTCATAAAGTATGATGGGGAGATTGGTCTGGGCAACCTCACCTGAGTGGCCTTTTGCAAGAGCTCCAGAGCTAGTCTACCCATTTTCAGAATTGTTTCTCCATGATGTACACCTCTGCATGGCACAGCGTATTCTTTGTGGATCCTCTGTGCTCTGTTCACGGCTGAGCTCCCTGGTTTCGGTGTTGGTAGCAGCGCATGGGAATTGACTGCATGGCGTCTGATGCTCATCTCATAGTCTCGCAGCCTGCTCCTCTCGCACTCACCTCTCCTAACTGCTGTTGCCCTCATGGGGTGATGAGCTATTCTTTACTGAGTAAACAGAATCTTCAACTGATGCCTGCTCAGCAGCCCATGTGGGCAGCAGTCTGCTGCTGCGGGGTACAGTTTTTTCAGGCCCTGATGAGCAAGAAGGGGTCTGTGCTGTGTCCTATGTGACCTGTTGAGGTGAGGATGTTGGTGTGTTGACATATGTGGAACCAGATCACATTGGTCATGAGGCAGGGGCAGACGGCAGCTGTGGAATGTGCCACACTCTTGTGGACCGGTTTGCTTCCTTGAAAAGCTGTGGTTCTGCCCAGTGCAGGTGTTCCTGTGGCCACCACTGACCTGTGGCACTGACCTGTGGTACTGTCCCCATTGCTGTGATGAAACACCATGACCAAGGGCAAATCAGGGAGGAAAGCATTTATTTGACTTATGCTTCCAGGTCACAGTTCATCATCAAAGGAAGTCAAGACAGGAGCTCAAGCAGGGCAGGAAACCTGGAGGCAGGGGCCATGGATGGAGGTTTGCTATTTACTGGCTTGCTCCCCATGGCTTGCTTTCGTCTAGAACCCTGACCACCAGCCCAGGAGTGACCTGACCTAAAACTGGCTGGAGGCTGGGCCCTCCTTCGTCAATCACTAATTAAGAAAATGTTTTACAGGCTTGCCTACATACAACTGGATCATACAGAGACATTTTCTTGAGGTTTCTTCCACTAAGATGATTTTTAGCTTATGTCAAGTTGATGTAAAACTATCTAGTGGGTGTGAAGTGGCCCATGCAGGTTGTTTTTTATAGCTTGAATGTGTAGTTGAAGGTGGTGAAACTTGATATTCTGTGATTTCTTTGAAGTCTTACTCTGAGCTCATAATGGCATAGAAGAAAGCAGAGAACTTTATGGTGTGTGGTGTTTCCTCGCTTTTTAAATCATGAGTCAGTAATGGGATGTGCTGACTTTGAAATGATATAAACACTTAAGAAAAATGTGGCTGGTATCTTCCCTTGGTAATTGAGACCAAGATTTGCCACAAAGAGATAGTATGAGTGCTGGGGTTGCTGTTTGGCCAAGCTTATAGAACTGTGTCTGTGTGGAGCTGAGGGAGGAGGGACAGTTACCAGTGAGGCCTGACAGCTTGAGACTTCTGCAGTCTCAGGTTCTTTCAAGACCCCAGCCTACTGTGACAGACATTGGCCCTGGCAACAGGCTTCCTATAAGTCCTCAATAGGCTTCCCTTTGCCAGACTTTGTTCATAACGTGATCCAGGGGTCATGTGGTATAATTGGCACATGCTTGGTAGCAGGCTACTTGAGGTATTGAGAGAGTGCTGGGAAAATTTTCTGTGTCTCTAGATTCTTCCCTTGACTATGTCACCTACTTTTCCAGCCTTTACTCCCACTGAGCCCTCCTCCCCTGTCTCTATAAGCTCTAGTCTGTTGTCCCAGAACCACAGCTTTCCTCCTGGTCACTCTATGCTCCCATGGAGGCCTCTATCCTTCTGTAATCCCTCAGACTGTGTCTTGACACAGTAGAGAGAGTGAGAGTTCCCCAGGTCTCTGTGGACATCCCCAGTTTCCCAGCAGTGTGGCTCTGTCTGCGACAAATGGGCTGTGTGTGTATGCACTGGTCTTGGCCCCTTTCCAAGTCCCTTCCTGGCCGGTAGGTAGCTCTAGGGCCTCCTTGGTTGTCTTGGTGGAGTGCCCCAGGTACCCAGGTATGCATGTTCTTCTGTCATGAACAGTATCAGTACTAGCTCGAGAACTAGGGAGTGTCAGTTGTGTTTGCTTCTGATTTATAGAGGGTTTCCCTATCGGGCTTTGTTTGGAAGGCTTTTGGCTCGCCCTGTGGGGCAGATCTGCATAGAAAGTGAACCATCTGTATAAGGTTGTGCCTGTGGTTTGGCTTGTACTGGGCAGAAGCGGCCAACAGTGACAGAGCAGGCCCCACAGCGCTCTCACCGAATGTCTCCTGTGTTTCCGAAACCCTAGGTATTGCATTCCTGCTGAGGAGGAGAACAAGCTGGAGGGGGTGGTCCACACCCTACTGCAGGCCAATGGCACTCCAGGGCTGCAGATGCTGGAGAGCAATGTCATGGTAGGTCTGTCCTCTACCTACAAACAGTGCTGAGTCTCCTGGAGACAGAAATTTCTTATTCTGTGTTACCTCCTGACAGTACTGGGTGGGGCTGGGAAGTGTTCCAAAAGGGTTGTAGACCTCTAAGAAGGAAGGAGTCCTGTGCTTCCAATGGCCTCTGCCTTGCAGTCACCATCAGGCTCATATCGAGCTGTGCTTCTGTGATTGTTCTTTTTTGATATTTTCTGAAGGAGAATCATAACCTGGTTCACTGAACAGGCCTCCATCAGGTTTCCTGTCGGCTGAACTTCCACATAATAGCCTGGCTGGTGGCCGTGCGGCAGAAGGGTTGCCTGGCAGGGCAAGGAGGGCCGTGTGTTTCAGTTGGCATTATCTCCCCAGATCTCCCCAGAGGTGCTGTGCAAGGAGGGGATCAAGGTCCACAGGACTGTGCAGCAGAGTGGGCAGTTTGTTGTCTGCTTTCCGGGGTCCTTTGTGTCCAAAGTATGCTGTGGCTACAACGTCTCAGAAACAGTGCACTTTGCTACCACCCAGTGGACAAGTATGGGCTTCGAGACTGCCAAGGTAAGCAGGTCAGCTGTGTGTAGATTCGGATTCACCATGAGCCTCTGAGGTCCTTTCACAGTACTGGTCTGGGTGGAGATCCTCAGTTACCAGGAAGGTTTTATAGGAAAGAAAGTTTTGAGGTCTGTATCATGAAGGCTTTTGACTGCCATTACTGGCCTTCCCACAGTTGTGGAGAGACCACTCAGACATAAACAAACACTGGGCCAGAGTATATGAGCACCTCTGCCCATTCTGAGCTGCGGTGCTGCCTCACGCTGGCAGTGAGGTGCTGGGCTCTGGTGCTGGTCTGCATGTAAGCAAAGTGGCTGCACAGCTATTAGTGCAAGTCCAGTGGGCACTTCAGAAATTCACACAGCCTGACTGTCACTATGAACCTTGACTACTCCTCAATCATGGAAATAGACCCTTTGTAAAGGTGACTCCTCTTTTTAGGAGATGAAGCGCCGCCATATAGCTAAGCCATTCTCCATGGAGAAGTTGCTCTACCAGATTGCACAAGCCGAAGCAAAAAAGGAAAATGGTCCCACCCTCAGTACCATCTCAGCCCTTTTGGACGAGCTCAGGTACTGTAGACCCATGACCCAGGACTTCAGGTGAAGCCACAGAGCTGGCAGCAGGGCTTGACTGAACAAGCAGGCACAGGCGACTGTTCTCTTGACTGCACAGGGCCACCACCACCACCACCTTTTTTTTTTTTTTTTTTTTTTTTTGCTATTTCCTCTGTTGTGTTCCTGTATAGTAGGAAGGTCTTAGTGAGCCTATATGAACAGAAGCGTATGATCTCAAGCTCATTCCTCTTTGGGGTCAGTGCTGAACCTGCCTTTTTACACTAATACTTTGCTCTAGGCTCTAGGGCTGGTTGGTAGTATAGAGAGGGACCCACCTTTTCCAACCCTTGGCTCTTACAGATATGGTAAGAGAGATACTGTAACATACTCTCTTACACACATACCATAGAGAATTTGGGCAGCAGCAGCAGCATCTGACTCTGAAACTGATTGGTCCCCTTGAGTTGGTCCACTTGTGTCCCACACATTTTGACAGCGCTTCTGAAGCACTGTGCATGGTTCCCTGTGTCGACCTCTTACCTCACTTGCCTCCTCCTGAGGCTTCTCACTCTCCAGGGAAAGGGTTCCTGATAATGTTGGTGGGAAACAGAGATGTTCACCACCTAGAAAGTGTCTTCAAGGGTAGGGACAACAAATAGGTAAAATGTATCCTTAGCTTGGAGAAAGAACATCTGTAACCTTAGGCAAAGTCCTGTTACCCCATGTTTTATCTGCCCTTTTGACTGAAGAGCATAATCTCTGGCTGGGGCCTTAGGAAGGCATGCCGGGTTTGTAACCCCATGGCTGGCTGTGCTGTATTGAAGGGTATGCTTATTCCAGAAGGGTAATGACATGGAAAGGGAGCAGGCATTCCTTGCAGGCATGCATGCGGCCTTTTCATGGTGCCTGCTATTTACCTGCACAGGGATACAGAGCTGCGGCAGCGCAGGCAGTTGTTTGAGGCTGGCCTTCACTCTTCAGCACGATATGGCAGCCATGATGGCAACAGTACAGTGGCGGATGGGAAGAAAAAGCCTCGAAAATGGCTGCAGCTAGAAACGTCAGAGAGGAGGTGCCAGATCTGCCAGCATCTGTGCTACCTCTCTATGGTAAGTATATGTAAGTGAGCCTAGAGTAGACCCACCGTGGACCCCAATACCAAGCCCGCTCAAGGCTTTTACAGCTTCTTGCCTCCTCACATTATGGTAGCAGAGCCCGAGTCAGCTGGCCACTGTGGGTAGTTGTAGCTAATGTTGGACCCCCTTGCTTTTTATTCTGCCTAGGGCTCTGCGCCATTGATGGTAGCACCCACATTCACTTAAACCTTTTGGGAAATACCCTCATAAATACCCAGAGATATATTTCCTCTGATTCTAAATTCTGTCAGCTGGCAATGCCTTGGTGGGGTTTTATTAATGTTAACAGCATGTGTTGCCCATGATAGCCAGTGAGTTTGTGATTAGCCCTTGGAGTCTTTAAAAGGGGCAACCTGTTATTTCTTTTTGTTTGCATGGAGGCTCCTGAGGAAAAAAACTCCAGATTTAAAGGCTTGTCAAAGTGTCCACTCAAGTTGGAGACCATTGTTTTTTGTTGTTGTTGTGGGTTGTTTGTTTGTTTTTGTTTTTGAGATACAGGTGACAGGACTTGAGGGGCCTACACAAAGGATAAGAGTACACAGGCCCTTGTTAGCCCTCAAGGATCAGTGTCTTTCCGTGTGATCTCAGGTAGCAGGACACTTGCTTGGTATGCAGCAGTGTGCAGGTCCTCTGGGGAACTGAAGATTAGGAGCCTTACCAACGTATTTTTGTCAAACTCCCCTAAGCCTTCTATGCCAATGTCAGTATATTTTGTCCCATCTCTATGATGAGGTGCTCCAGGAGCCTGCAGAACAGATCTGGTGAGGGTTTGAAAGCTAAGACAAGCTGCTGCTTTTTTGCCTCCTTCCCTCCATTCCCTTCCTCCCCTAGTTGAAGACCCTGTTGCAGGGTTTCTCATCGGTTTGTATTGTTGTTAGTCACTGACCCCTGGCTTGGGCAGATGTGTGTTGATAGGCCTCCTTGAATTCAACTTGAGCCCTTTCCCTACAGGTAGTACAGGAGAATGAGAATGTCGTGTTCTGCCTGGAATGTGCGCTGCGCCATGTGGAGAAACAGAAGTCTTGCCGTGGGCTGAAACTGATGTACCGCTATGACGAGGTGAGTGGAGGCTGAGGGTGGCCACTGTTATTCCTGTAGATGCCAGCTACTCATCTCTAGGCTGGAAATATGATAGCTTGAGCTGCAGTCAGTGTCTGCCCCCTGTCCTCAGCTCCTCAGTGCTCAATCTACAGCCTGATCTTGCCTTCCCAACCTCTTTCCAAGTTCTTCCTGTTCACAGGGCCACTGCCAGATTCTGTGCCTATTCCATTTAGCATGCTTGCTTCTTGCACAGGAGGTGCCTGACCCAAGATGGCCCTCCACAGCTGTTCCCCCGCCACCTGTCTCGATACCACATCCCGGGAAGCTCTCTGCCTTCAGACTACTCAGGCTCTGGACAGAGCGTTTTCTTATGGCTCCAGAGCCTGAGTCAGTGCTGGGAGGGGTGGTGGTCATGCCCCTTGCGTGATGTAGACACCTGTCACCGCCCATGGCTGCCCCTCACTCACCGTTGGTCCATGTCCTGTGTGCAGAGTTGAATGCTTTAGATTGAGAGCCTAACTCCCTGACACCCTGGAATATGGTTCCCTGTGCTGCCTATGTGCTGGGAATCGTGTCCCTGTGGGATCCACACTGTCTCTTCTTCACTTTTTTCCTCACTCTTGGATTCTGTATCCAGCTCTACGCATCATATTCATCTCACCTTCTCAACCTTCCTGATGCTGCAACCCTTTAATACAGTTCCTCACGTTGTGGTAACCTCTAACCATAAAAATTATTTTCATTGTTACTTCATAACTGTAATTTTGCTACTGTCATGAATGGTAATGTATTAATATTTAATAAGCAAGACAGCTAATATGAGACCCCTGTAAAGGGTTGCTTGATCTCCAGAGTGGTTTGTGACCCACAGGTTGAGAACAGCTGTTCTGAATGAAGCCCAGTCCAAACAAGATCATTTCACTAATGGAGCACAATTTAGCATCCCAGTTGGTCTTTTGGCATCTATCTGTAATTGAGGTTGCATGTACACTTCATTGCCTTGCCCACCTCTAGTACTATTCAGATGCTGTCTTCAGCCCGCTCTGTGCCTGCTTTTGGTCTCTGCATGCCTTATAGTTATAAGTGCTTTGGATAAGGGAACATCTCAAGCAGCCATCCCCAGATTTCACAGGCTGCAGCACACCTGTCTCCTTGTCTCACAGCTTGCAGTCCTATGCCAGGAAGTGCTGATCCCGGTCTGCCTGGTGCTGCACATCTGGTACCCTGGTGCCCTTACTCAAGAACCATCTCTTGGACAACATCATTGTCACTCACTGTGTGTTCCCCAGCTCTATGGCTGGCTGTGCAGCACATCGCCCATGTGGTCCCAGGATCTGCCTTCTATTCCTAATGCTGGCAACAGAATCTTCCCTCCTTGGCTGTGCTCCCTGAAGCTTGAACAGGTGGACAGTTAGTGCATTCAAGGCCATTACGTACTTGCCCCAGGCTTGCTGGGTCAAGTGTAGGTCAGACTCATGTCTGAGTTTTGACCCAACAAAACTTCTGTGGTCCCTACTTCACATAACAGTAAACGTCATAATGTGCTTAAAATCCCAGCAATGAGTAGAACTACTGTCTGGCATCCTGTACTTCCAAAGCCCTAGTTAGGGCACAGAGTTGGCAGCAGCAGGCAGGGCCAAGGAAGGTGCATCTGCGCACAAGATTAGGGCAGCTTGAAAACACTTCTCTGAAAGTGCTGCAAGCAGCTGAGCAGTGGGGTGGGAAGCTACCTGGTGTCGTAGGTCAGCATTTTACTGTGACCACAGTCCTGAAAGAACACCAGCACAACCGGTGGTCGGATATCTAGTGAGGAAGTCAGCTAGGGCGTATGGAAAAACACACTTGGCAGCCCATAGCTGAGTCACTAATGACCAGGCCAATGACAGACGTACTAGGGGTCCTACACCTGTTTCTCTCATACCCCACTACTTTTTTTTTTTTTTTTTTTTTTTTGTCCTGTACACTCTGGTGCTCACAGGAAGAGCTGGGCTTTCAGGACACTTGAGAACCTGGCTGCCCAAGGCAAAGTTTTTTACTGTCTTTCCAAGCTTGGCAACGAAGAAGCCAGTCTTCAGGAGGCAGGACACTGTTAGATCAGCAGATGTTGGGCTTTTCACGGCCTTCTAGGGCTTTTCAGAGCCAGAGATTGTGTGAACCTCAGGAGTCTTATTGTCCGGGCTGCTTCCATTCTTTACTCAGTGTCCAGACATCTTTCTTGCCAGGTATCTGGCTTCCTGCCTATGCTCTCTTGAGTCATTCATTCTTCCAGTGTGTCCCAGGCTGGTCCCACATGTGTTCTCCTGCTCCAACCTCTGGAGAGCTGTGATTTCAAATGTGGGCCATCACACCCAGCTATGGATATATTTTGGGTGAAGTACAGGCAAATGGCTGTTCCCTCTCCCCTCTAAGAAAGAGGGAGTAATGGACTTGTTAGTGCCACATGCTGGAGAATTTTGGCTCCAAGCTGGTGCCTGTGAAGCACCTCAGTGTGGGTCTCAGCAGTAGGCCGGGCAGCCATTCTCCTTAGTCATGTTGGTGTAATTTGTCTGGATGCTGTTCTTAATTTCTAGATTTTTCTTCTCACATTGACCTGCTACGAGATAACTACAGCAGCAGCAGCTTCTGCCCTAGCCCCAACTATCTGAAGCAGGGCCAGGAGATGGCCTGTCTCCGAGCTGGGAGGCGGCTGTTTCTCCTTTACAGGTCCCCTGGAGCTGGTGTTAAAATGCAGTTGTGAGCAGTAGTGGGTGCTGGGAGCCCAATAAGTAAAACACTCAGCAGCTGAGCAGTCTCTCCTGCCCCAGGGACTTCCTTAGGCATCAGCCTGTCCTGTCCACAAGTCCTCTGCCGCTCTGAATCCTAAAGGTATTTCTAAAGCCTGCTAATATCCAGTGACACACACCGGATATTGCCTTGTAAGGTACAGTCTGGTGCCCGGGACCCCTCTGCTATACTAACTGTGTTATCTGTCCTCCTGGCAGGAGCAGATCATCAGTTTGGTCAACCAGATATGTGGCAAAGTGTCTGGCAAACATGGCAGCATTGAGAACTGTCTCAACAAACCCACACCAAAAAGAGGCCCCCGCAAGAGAGCGACCGTGGACGTGCCGCCATCTCGGCTGCCACCCTCATGAAGATGTCGAACCCATGGTCACTTATATATTTTTTGTAATTATTATATTCTAGTTTGGAGTACTTGCTGTAGGATACAAGCTGTCTTTGCACTAGCTCTAAAGAAGAATTTCTTCTGGTTTTAGAGAACTGATTTTGTTTTAGCATTAAACTGTTCAAGTTTTTGTACGTAGATAATCTAGATACTGCAGTCAGGTTTGGAAGCTGCCGTACACTCACTGTCTAAAAAACCCTTGAGGGGGCTGTATTAATTTGTATCGCCCCATGGCTGACAAAAGCCTGTTTTTTTGGTTTTTTTTTTTTGTTGTTGTTGTTGTTGTTTTTTGTTTTGTTTTATTTGGTAATTGTTGGGGAATAAAGGCTTTTTAACCCGTTTTTGAAAAGGGTGAAGTTTGGAGAACAAATTTTAAAACCATCCGTCACATGAGCAGATTTTTCTAGATTGGAAAAGTGATAGAAGACACACACACATATACAGAAAAAAGAAACTTGAAATGGCTTTCCTTTGGCTGTCTTTTCTTGTCATGTGCAAGGGGAATCTGTAGCTTCTGGAACCGGAGAGCCCCGTTTGTTGGCTGGGCGGTTATGGCAGCTGAAGGCAAATGTGAGGCTTGCGTGACTAGGCTCTCATACCAGCACATCACTATGCATCCGTTCGAGGAAGAGGAGGAAGACAAAGACTGCCTGCCTTGGAGGGCCACTGAGGGAGACCTGTGCCTGATTTCACTAGGAAATCCATTCTGTTATTTTTTTGGTGCTGTTGGCTACTTTATGAAAAAAAAAAAAAAAAACAAAAACAAAAAAAAAACACAAAAAAAACCCTTCAATAGCATCCTTGAGGAAAACAGGAAACAGTAGTTGACTGTAAGTGCTTCCCTGTCGTCCACGTGCAATCTCCTGACATTCCACCTCCGTCTCTCTGCTTGTTCACTCACACATCAGCATTAATCTTTGTTTCAAACACACTTAGAGCCACTAAGTCTGCGGTTCTTTTTGAATGTGAAAATACATCTGTGCTCATCTTGTCTATTTTTTCTCTTCATGTTTTAACAAAAAAGAAAAAAAAAAGAAAAAAAAAGAATCCCATCCCTTTTGTACATACTCCTGTAAATTGTTTTAAATACTTGAGCCTTTTCTTGGTGGGGGAGGGGAGGGGTAAGAAAGATGAAGAAAAGCCTTACATTTCAGTTTCTTCATCGGCTGGATTGGATGCTTACAGGGTTTTTCTTGTAACATTTATAAGTGCTGCTTACATCACTCAAAACAACAAAACATGGTAATGGAGTAGCTGTTGCCCTTCTCCGGTTGTGTGTACAGTATGTGTGGAATAAAAAAGGGAAACTGTTTTCACAAGCTGTTCTTTGTTTCATAATTGGATCAGTCCGTAGCTACCCATATTGCACTGAGCTTGCCAGTGGTGACTGCCAGGAACGTCCTAGGATCCACTTTGGTGGTTGTTGTTGCAGAAGACTGAACTGTTTTGGAATATTTAACGATTACATAACAGTCGAGTGTTTTCCAATGTGGTTGTCCAGTTTTTATGGCCTTGCTGTGTACTTTTCCCTCTCTTTTGACAGTAGACTTTCGCCTATGGCCTACAGTTTGACATTTAATTTATTAGCGCTGCTCTGCACCTCTCCCTCAGGGAGGGCTCCGTGTGGTCTATTGCCAGTTCTTTGTTTACTTTTCAGGTTTGTACTACAAGGTTTAATAATAAAAACAAGTTTTTTGGACATTTTGTCTGTCATTTGGAAAGTGAGGGAAGGGAATGGGCTTTCTTTGGTCAGTGGGGCAGAGGCTCTAAGTCCTCTCTTTGGCAAGGGAGTGGAGCTACTGAGGCATTTCCATATTAATGCTCAGCCACTCTGCTCTGGGTCTAGTGGGGTTAGGCGCTCATGCCCTGGCCACCTTCCCTACCGGAGAGCAAGCTGAATTATTTTGCCTCAAGTTTAATTTCTGCTGAGGTCCAGATTGTTGACAGCAGTTTTAGCCTGATGGTAGTTCAGCTGATGGGTATAAAATTAAGTTTTTCCCAGTTTGACCACTATTGCTTATATGATAAGTTTCTTTTCCCTCCTATTACAGAGCCCACACAACCTGGCCCAAGGTCCTATTACCACTCAGCGGCCCTCCACACCTCTAAGAACTCTTGATCGTCTCAGCCGTACCCACTTGTCAAAGCCAGAGGCCTTTCTTATAACCCAAAATACTCACCGGCAGCTCAGTTTAGCCCATAAGCTTTATTGTAGCACTTGGAATGGTTCTCACACACCATTAGCAGTTGTGCAAAGTCAACCTTGCAGGAGGGTGCTGCACACAGCTGACAAGTCACTTAAATGTCCTGAGTTGAATCACTGTCATCACTGACACCTGGGGTGGACTTTCTGTCAGTATGTAATGTGACCAAGGCAGTGTCCACCTGCACCTCCTCTTCATCAGGCTGGACGAGGGGGGCATCAACAGTGTCCAGGTCAGTGTAGGCAGAGGTTGAGGCAGGTGGCTGGAGTGCTGGTTCTGAGGGATTTGGAATCTGAAGATTCATTTCGTTCTGACAGGGGTTGGATTCCAGCTCTATTGAACAAAGTAGAAAAAGCCTCCGATTGGTGATTACCATTGAGGACAACTGTCTGAGGGCACCCTACAGGGCTGCCTCCTGTCCCACAGGGAGTCACAGGTGAACAAGTACCTATTCTGTACTGTGACACTGGGAAAGACTAAGAAAAAGCTAAGGGCACATGCTGAAAGTCAAGCACCAATCCTTGATAACCTAGATGATCCTTTAGCACTGGAGTATAGGATGAACTAAGAATTATTCAGCCTTTAGCAACCCCCAATTTTGCGAGGAATCAAGATTTTAGACATAACCAGTCACTGACTAAGTCATTTCTCTCCCTGTGGAGGGCTGAGAGGAGGAGGGTCAGGTCAGAGGAATTGGTCTCTCAGTACTGTGGCCCAAGAGTTTCCCTTCCCTCCTGTATATGAAAGCAGCTGAAAAACTGGCTGTGCAGTGCTCTACAAACAAAAGGACCTCATCAGGAGTCCATAGTCCTGGAGTAAGGAAGGCCTGCTGCATTAGGGAGCAGAGCTTAGAAAAAAACCGAGCCACACAGGAACGCTAACGTGTTCCCAATCCAGCCCAATCTCTGCACCTTGAGGGCCCACTCCCTGGAGCAGCCTCCATTCATTGCCTCACTACTTCCTACACATGGAAAAATGGGTTCATGGAAGAAGTTGGGTTGAAGAGATTTGATATTGGTCTGGTCATGACTTACTCAAACCAGGGGACAGCACAATGTTGTCCTCTCCACCAGAATTCAAGAAGACATCTAGAGCCTCCTGGTCAGAGATGTCCATCAGGTCCATCTGCTCCAGCATGTCTACATTCACCTCCATGGATGACATGCTGCCCATGGGCTCTGAGAATAAAAGAAATTGTACCTTTTGCTTTTCATGGTAAATGGTGCATTTTATCACTGTTAGGCTAATCACACTATTTTCTCCCAGCTTTTGCCATCACCAAATGAGAATAGTTTTACTCTGTCCTAAGTTATCTTTTATAACCTTTGTCCACAAACTCATGTTTGCAGGTGTTCCTATAAAATGTAGGTGTAGGTAGGAGCTGTTTTAATGGGTCAGTAGGAAGTCAGAAAATTCCCTCCTAGGTCAGTGCAACCAAAATTGCAAGTGATGCTTTCCTGCTGGTAGAATGGGAACAGAAGCTCAGCAGCTGCAGGAGACAGGGCCCCAAGGCAGGGTGCCTCTTAGAACTGGTTTTCACATCCCAACCACCAGCCAAGGATTACTTTCTATGCAAGCTGTTTCTGGATGGATGTATTATGAACCTTGGCCTTCACAGACAGAGACTCCCTTACAAAGTAAGGGGCAGCACAAACGAAAGCGTAACAAGGACCAGGGAAGTCAATGTCAGAGAGGCTTCTAGGATGAACCAGATAACTAAGTTTACCATCAAAATGTAGACTTTGCCCAAGTTGAGGATGAGAGCAAAGCACAGTAGAAAATAAATTCAATATATTCCCCAGAGCGCGGCATGAGCACACACAGTCACTCCCACAAATGAAGATGGAGGGGCGCTTGCAATCCAACAGAGCTGGAAGTTTTGTGTTCTTCAGTAGGAGTTGGATTAGCTTTAGGCACACAAGCACCTAAGTTCACTACTTTTCTATCTCTGGGTTACACAGGTTGTTCTGTTGTTCTGAGCCAGTCAGGCTTAGCTTGGGCAGGGTGGACTTGAACAGCTTTCTGGTGTCACAGCGGCACCAGTGCAGTAATGTCACAGCTACAAGGGTAGGTTCGAGAGAGTAGCACTCCCTTAGGCACTGGTGTTCTAGTGGGATTCTTGAGGGTATAAGTGGATGCCATGGTTTCAGCCGTCTCTTCTGGTCTGTGGCTTTGACCTCAGCCAGGAGGACCTCAGCCTGAATGTTGGATGTTCAGGAGAGGCCAAGCCATTCACCACAAGGAATGAACTAAACCTAGCCTGGTGTCTCTCACCGTCAGTCCCAGCACAGGGGAGGCTGAGACAAGACCATGAGTTCCATGCCAGCTAGGGCTATTTATCAAATCCCACCTAAGAATCCTCTCTTCCCCAATTATGTGATTCTCCTACCTCAGCCTCCAAATCACTGGAATTGTGTATGTGTCTTCAGAACTTAACTCACAGCTGTATAATTCACACCCATCCTTCTGGAGGGATGCCAATGTACCTACCTCTTTGATGACTGACATAACTGTCCTAACTTACTATAAACTTAAACCTAATTTATGTCAAATAAACTAATGAAAAGTAAAATATTTATGTGTTAAATATCAAAAGTTGTCAAATTCAGCTCAAGTGATATCCCAATAGGAAATTCTTAGCTTTGGATGCCTTACTAGAGAATGAAGAAAATCAAGCCTATATTTCAGGTAGAAGATAGGTGCCCTTGGTGCCTTTAATCCCAATACTCAGTAGGTAGAAACAAGATGTCTTAAGTATGAGGTCAGCCTAGTTCCAATGAGTTCCAGGCTACCCAGGGCTACATAGCAAGGCCTTGCCTCTGAAAAGGACGCCCAAGGAATGTCCAGTTTTCCTGCCAAGCCTCCTGAGTGCTAGAAGCACCTGGCTACAAAGACTGTTCTTTGCCAAAGCAAAGACTATGAGCAGTGGCACGCTAAGTATTTGATTTGGCACACTTTCCATGGAAACCATAAAACAGGACAGACCAGCCAGTGGTCCCATACAGTGTCTAGGGTTTGCTCATCCACTCAGGATAAACAAGGAGAGTGATGTGCTCCATCCAATGCTGAATTCCAAAAATTGGTCAGTTGTAAGTTTTAGAAACATAATTTTAATCAAACTTCAGAGTAAGTATATTGAAGAACTTGAAACAGGAACAAATGTGGTAATGGGGGTGAGTTGGCTGGGTCTAGCTTACACCAAGACTCATCAGGGTGCTTTTGCCTCTGTTGGCACTGAACTGTTGAAGACAGAAGCTGTCCTGTTTGAAACGGAGTTCAACAGTAATCGGACCACTACTTACTGAACTGTAACTATGAAAATCACAGTGGAGTGTCCTAACCTGTACAAGCTTAAAACACACAAACATAAGGCTGCTAAAGCCAGTCACCTTGAGTAATACTGTGTATCAGGACTGTGAAAGTCAACATCTGGACTCTATGAAACGAAGACAGGTAAGAGTACAATGAACACTAACTGTCAAAGGTTACCTTCGACAGCTTGATGGTAAGGCTCTAACATCATCGTGAATTGAAATCAAGCTGACGCCAACTAGAATCTTCACCCCTCCTGACTTAGTATTCACGGTGCTGGAAGGTACTTTGTATGTGTGGTGGTTTGAATGAGAACGGTACCCCCTAGGCTTACATATTTGAAAAGTTGTTCCCCAGTTGGTGAAAGCATTTGGAAGGGTTAGAAGGTGTGGTGGGGTTGGAGGTGGCATGTCACTGGGGTGGACTTTGAGGTTTCACAAATCTAATACCATTCCCAGTTGTGTGTGTGTGTCTATCTGTGTCTTTCTGCCTCATGTTTGGGACTCCAGATGCTCCAGTACCATGCCTACCTGCATACTGCCATCCTCTCTGCCAATGATGGCCATGGACTCTAACCCTATTAAACTGTAAGCCCCAAATAAATTTCTGTGTGTTCGCTTGGTCCTTGCCTCTTATTACAGTAACAAAAAAGTCTCTAAAACATCTACAGGAGGAGGAGCAGTAATCGGTATTAGCTACAACCCAGTGACCTGTCTGCAAGATTGTATTGGTACAATAGTGGCCAACAAATGTTACAGGAGTAACTACCACTGTTTAAAAAATAGACTTAAGGCAAACTTCATATCTGGACACTGCTAAAGTAGCCCCAAGTCTGGGACTAGACAGGGTCACAGGCCTAGGGGAAACTATTACTATTATGCTAACGGAGCAGAGCAATAAAATCACTCCTATTGCAGACATACCCACAGATTAGCGCCTCACTCAGCCCTCTCAGAGAACGCGCTTCTTGCAGTAGATGGGTGTTAACACAATGATTCACAACCTACAAACCTACAATGTACAGAGAGATAGACAGACTGACTGACTGTGGCGCACTCAGTCCCAATTGGGTATCTTCATCAAATCATCCTCAAGATTTAGAGATCTCAAGACCCAGCTATACCTCTCCTGGATATATACCCAAAAGACGATCCAGCATACAACAAGGACACTTGCTCAACTACGTTCATAGCAGTTTTATTCACAATAGCCAGAATCTGGAAACAACTTACATGACCCTCAACCGAAGAATGAATAAACTATAGCATATGTACACAATAGAATACTATTCAGCTACTAAAAACAAAGAAATAATGGAATTTGCAGGCAAATAGATGAAACTAGAAAAGATCATCCCGAGTTAGGTAACCCAAACCCAGAAAGACACATATAGTATGTACTCGCTTATAAGTGGATATTAGCCGCATAGTATAGGATAAGCATACTATGAGGCACAGACCCAAAGAAGATAAGTAACATACAGGATCCAAGGTAGGATGCATACATCTCACTTGGAAAGGGAGACAGGACAGACAGAAGTAGTGGCTGAAGAGAGGGAACAAGGTAGGAGATGGGGGCCCAGAGAGTTCAGATCTGGGGAGAGTAAGGGCGAGAGGACAGAAGGACTGTGAAGAAAAGAGAAACAGTGGGGTTATCTCTCTGACAGGGTAGGCTCCTAGGAGGATATGAGGGGGACTCAAGCAGAGACTCCTACTAGCAAAGAGCACAGAGAGCGAAGAGGACACCCACTACCTAGTCTCCTAGCAGAGGGAAGGGAATGCTAACACACCCACATAAACTTTGACCCAAAATTTACCCTGCCTACAAGATGTGCAGGGATAAGACAGCAGAGATTGAAAGAATGCCCAACCCATGCCTCACCCAACCAGAGACCCACCCTAAGGGACAGTGCCAACCCCTGACACTACGAATGAAGCTCTGCTAAACTTGTAGACAGAAACTTGACAGAGCTGTCCTATGAGAGGCACTACCCAGCAGCACCTCAAAACAGATGCTGAGACTCACAGCCAAACATTGAGTGATAGTGATACGTAGGGAATCTTCTGGAAAAGTGGGAGGAAAGAGGGACTTGGAGATGACAGGAGCTTCACGAGAAAAAAAAAAAAAACAGGGCCCAGAGGGGCTTGCTGAGACTGAAGCATCAACCAAAAACCATGCATGAACTGGACCTCAGCCCCTTCAAAGATGCAGCAGATGGCAGCTTAGGCTTCAAGTGGGTCCTCTAGTAAGGGAAGTGGGGACTGCATTGGACATGGACTCACTTGCCAGCTTTTACATCACTTTCCCCTGGCAGGACTGCTTTGCCAGGCCACAGGGGAAGAGGACATGCTTAGTCCTGATCAAACAGGATGAGCAGGGCTGGATGGAAAGGGGGCTCCCCTTTTCTTAAGGGGAGGGGGAAAAGGGGTGAGACTGGAAGGGGAGGAGGGATGAGGCTACAACAAGGATGTAGAGTGAATTAAAATTTTTTTTTCAATTAAAAAGATCTATGTGGATAAAGAGGCTGACAATTGTTAAGAGCCAGAGGTGGTGGTTGATCCCAGGGAACAGCACTCTTCAGTTCTAGAATACACAAAGAACTCCTAGAGAGAGACTGTGTCAAAATGCACAAGATTTGAACAACTTCAACCCAGACAAAACCCCTGCACAGAGAGAGGAAGCAGGCACAAAGGTCCACTGCTAGCCAAGAGGCTATTTGTAATTGATACCTGCTTGGAAAGGGGTTTTCTGCAGTGTCATTTGGTATATCAACTACACTCCAGGACATGCCTCATGTCCAGGAGTATTTGGCCAACACAAAATTACTCCAGGGTGTGTGTGTGTGTGTGTGTGTGTGTGTGTGCGC